AAAAGTTCAGCCCCTTGTTTGCTGAAAGATGATTCAGATAGTCCTTTCCCTCAAGGAAGATTTCCCTCGTTAATGTAGCCCTAAGAGGCTTGCGTTTATTGCTTCTTTGAAGATCTAAGACACTTTCTACAATTTCCATATGGGACAGAACTGCTACTACGTAACAAAGGTGACTTAGATGGTTATGATTTTCGCAAGGAAATAGATGGAAGTCAATGACTATTAAAATGGATGATATCTTTGATTAGACTATAAACCTAATTAAAATTACGTAAGTGACTCAAAGTACCCAACTAAAAGGATGTTGAAGTGCACGTGGCAGTTACGATTTCACCCTGAAGACTGGAAAAAATCTTAATGAAAAGCTCAACCTCATTGTCATACCTAAATCCATCTATCGTCTCACTATTGAGGATGTAAGAGCATTTGTCTGACTCTCTTTCACATGTTCCGGCCAAATTGTAGAAGAATTTATATAATTATGTGTGTGTATTCTACTCTGTTTAATCGGTTAATTCTGAATGTAGTACTCAAAGCTTCATCATACTAGAATAAATTGTTACAAAAATAAATCGAACCATTTGTTTGTGTTGTTATGCCGGCCTACGCCTTGTTAAACCACTTTCGTGTTGAATCTAAGGGCTAAACACCTTAATCTTCTCAGTCGCGCGTGCAGGTTTGACGAATACCTTCAATTTAAGGATCATGAAAAAATGGGGTGAAGTGAAAAAAAAAGGCGTGCAAGTATGGGCCGGTCTCCAGGGTTATTGTTTTTGGTCCAGAGAACGGTAACCAATTGTTTATTGATGAGCGGATGAGCAACTGCGCCGGAATTCCTTGAACTGAAAATCCACTTAGACAGCACACGCTCTGTCTTTATTCAGTCACAATACCACTTGAATCGGAGCTTTTTGTGCGAATGGATTCTGAACAGCTACTAAAGAACATCATGGTTCCTAATGGGTCTTTCTCATTATAGGGGCATAACTGCTCGTAGTTAAACGAGGGAAAAAGACACTGGCCTTTCCTTAAATGAAGTGCGTTGTACGTTCGACATACGCCGTACTGGAGATAAGCAAAGGCGTCATGATGAGCTCCGCATTCCTAATGTGCGAAAATCTTTCCTAATCCTCTATATGTCTCTTTCGCTATTAACAACTTGTTTTTTCCTTCTGTAGCAAACAGTGAATATGAAATAATCTCAGAATGAATTTTTTCTTTCACTGAAACGAAGAGACATTGTCGGATTTATTACGTATGTATTCGGGTTCCGATATGAACCATTTCGTTTCTACGACCATCTTATGCTTCTGCTACCGTATGCTCGGATAGATTTGTGGAAGAACCGATGCCAATTGCGTTTTCAGCTTCCCAGCTTATTTTAGACATTGCCTTTACATCTGTGGCTCGACAGATCGGAAGAGGGGGGAGGGGGTAGGGGAGTGTACTCAAGTGAAGTGTGTGGCATACATTTGAAAGTCCCTACCCCTTCTCAGACAAAAACTGAAAAATTTTCGCACCCTATCTCAGACCTGATTGGCTTCATAAGAGTTTCTTCAGAAGACAAGTCCAAGTCAAGAAAATTATTTCTGGAAGTGAGACTTTACCCTTCATACTCAATTTCAGATCAAATGGTTCAATCTTAGACAAATTGGTTCAATCATGCTTAGAGCAAGAGGAACTAGCAAAAGGGTCAAAGACGTTGTATAAAACCTATGTGGGGGAATATTCTATCTCCCCCTGCTCAAGTGAATCGACGTAGCTGTCTGAGCGGCAAAAGCTCTTGTTTGTGATACTTGGAAAACGGAAATGCGCTTTAGCGGCAAGACTAGACTTTTCGGAAGCGCAGAGGACGGCCGGAGAGAAGTGAAAAAATTCCTTGAGCAATATTATTGGACTCTCGTGCTTCTCTAGTTTCTGTCGCCTTTAAGGCCCCAACAGAGGTTGATGAAATAAATAACTTCTTTAACACTGAAGAAAAATCTCTCAAACATATGAAGTACAGAAATGATCTACTTCTAAGACATACTGGAATTAATACATCAGATTTCGAGTCTTGTAGAGAGAAGAACTTTACTTCGTATGTATTCCTCATGAGCCACTTGATCGATGAAGAAACTGAGGGTCACTGAGACGTAAGCTTTTTTAAGGTATTAGTTTAAAGAAATTTACAAGGAAATCTAATTTAAGCAGTGGTTATCTTTTTTCTCGATAACAAACAATTTTTATCAACGCTCTTGCGAAACTTTTCTGTCAACAAAAGTTGGTACAGCACAGCTGTCATTGTGCAACACAGCAGTTACTAACAAAACCCCATAATCATCTCGATTGATATTTCAAAGGAGATAACTTCAAAATAAAACTTACATCATACCGTATTCCAGAAGATTGGGCCGCCCCGGGTGTCAGTTTATTTGCTCCTCATTGAGTACTTTTCTTGTAACCGGAACTGGTCGCTAATCAAGGTAAAGCATTAAGGGTAAATATTAGTCCAAAGCTACGAAACGGATTTGGATGTCAGCTGTTCTTCTGGGCGCCATTAAGTCTGTTCACGAGTAACTCCCAAGAACCGCTTTGTAAATTTGTAAGTCAAATCAGGAAATATGTTTTTTGGAGTAGAATTTCTCAAACAAATTACCGGAATTACTCGTCACTGCTACTCTACTGCGGCGCCACAACATACGGAGTTAATTCAGGTGTACATTTTGTTTTGTCAACACCCCTTCATCTAGATCATGAAGCCATGTCACAGAATATACTTTTTAAACCACAGAAATAAAGAAAAGACTGCACTTTTCTGTTTCTTTCCGCTCCTAATCTATCATTTGGGCAGACTGGCGACACTGCTAAAAGATCAGATGGTACGTCCTTAAAAGAAAAAGTCTTAGACTACTTGAGCCCCAGGTTCAACCCAGATTAACTTTCTGTCAATAACAGAGGTGAATTTGGGCTCTTGAAGTTTGAACGAGGTCGTCTCGGCAGACAGAGTGATAAAGAACACCGATAAAAAGCTGCTTCTACTGTATCTTATCGGTTATGGCGGCTGATCTTTTGATATTTTAGCGCGGTGTAACGGTTTCATATCCGATTAGACAGTCCAAATCTATTTTATTTTGACGATGAAAATTTTAACAGTGCTAAACATTTTTGGTTCACAGCAATAAACCAAACACGTATCCGACACTGAGGACCTACTGGCAAAAATTTGATTGCGCAACTAGCTAGTTTACACGAAGAAAGAATATAATGTCTGGTTTTGAACGACAACGCTTGTCGTTGCTTTGAAAAATTAATTGCTTAAAATGTTTTTGTTTTAAAAATTTCACAATTTATTTTTTCCTGATAGTTGACTAGTTAAGGAAATTGGAGCACGCGCACACTGCCTTTCAAACCAGCGGAAAAGTCGAACGTTTCGTTCATACTTTGAGGCAAAACTTGTTAAATTCAAACTGTAAGAAAGAGGGTGAAAATCACCGTACGGGTATTTCGACGAATTTCGAAGATACATTGTAAAGAGAAGAGCTGTTTGACTGATGGACCTAAAGTATCATCAGATTGTTGCCTTCCCTTTTATCTCTTTCTCTTTCATAGTACTGTAATTTTTTCGTTTTATGTCTGTGAAACGGGAATGTCATTCAGTATAAGTTGCTCGCACCAAAGAAACAAAACAACAGAAGAGCTGTGTTGCTGGAAACAGCTGTACAAATGAAATGTTACCCTCTTATCCCCTGGTCAATCCAGTGCATCTGTAGTAATGGCGCGTGAAAGGTCATAAAAACTTAAGGCAAAAACTACATTGTATTATCGAAGATGTCATCCTGCGATTACAGACTGATTTTCTTCTTAAGTAGTCTAGCAAGGTACAAATTCTCGCGAAAACAAGGCCGCTCTATATTCCACTTGCCATTATTGACAATTATGAACCGTGAAAGAGGTTACGTGTGGTTCGTTTGGTCGTTGCACGCACTGAACAGTGCTTGAGTGAATCAAAGTTCAATTTCGCGTAAAAGTTTCGCAAAACCACGCTTTTTCTCCATGGAAATTTTGTAGAATTATTATCGAGCTTAAACTATTTTTAAAATAAGAGAAAAGACTAATTTAGCATCCGGGAATGCATATTATTTCGTTAACATATGTGGTTTCCTAACATGTAATTGACTGTGTAAGGCTGCTCTGGCTGAGAAATGTCATCATGACTCACAAAACTGACGTCTGGCCAATTTTGATCGTCAATGAGTGAGAAAATAAAATAAGGAAAAAGTTTCTATTCACGAATGAAAAGGTACAAGCCTTGTGGCACACTGATATGCTTCGCTAGTCATTTCTCTGACGGCCTTGGCCCCTCCCGTGTTGCCAAAAATCCACGGAGTGTTAATCTCAAAGTCAATATTATGGTCACGTCCAAGCTCAGGATGAGCTAAGTTTTGTTTTAGTCCTGCTCATGTTTACTCAATTCCTTCCTATTCACGAAATATCCATCAAGAGGCGCAATTGATACATGGAAGCGCACCGAAAAGTTTGAATTAGTTCGTAACACCCAGCATAGCGCACCCGAAGATGTATTTACATCACATTTTAATTACATGACAGTCTGTTACAGGATAAAATGCATTGAGAGTTGATTCAAACAGACAGTTTGGCGTTGTCGGAAGGAAAGAACTTTATCCCTTCGGTTCCGCACTCTGGGACATACTTTTCTGATTACTCTTTGCACGACACTTACGGCGTTTTAGCGGAATTTCTGGCAAGGAATTTGTGGGCTGGAGCCAAAACGTCATATTTCCTGATAGCTCCCGGATATCTTGACCCTCAGGTTACTCTAGCGTAACCCGATATTTCGGTAAAATACCCATGAAATATACAGGCACAAATCCTTTCAAGACGTAGTCATCTTGGCACCGGGATCTATTGCACTGTCAGATATACAGCTCTCTGATTGGTTATCTCGACGTGTTACATAAACATGTCTCCTCTCAGCCACGTGATAAAAAAGCTTATTTTTCAACTCGCTTGTCACATCTATCACACGTGTTCTTGCATATCAGAGACATCATAGCAGCAGGGAGCTTGGCAAGCGAATTTTTTTGAAGTCAGAAGAAAATTCTTCCGCGGTAACCTCGTCACGACCATAAAACAGATCAGAACTCGAAGAGATGCGTGGCGACGACAGAATGCTGCTCTCCGATCGAAGAACGGTACGAAACAAGAGAATTCCGGCACCTCTACCTCAGATTTTAAACCCCTTGGGGTTTGACAATCCGATCGGTGTATGTCACCCTCAACTGGCGCGGCATAACCAGAATTATGCAAAATTGCTGGGGTCGATGGACCAAGGAGCTGTCGCGAAGAAAGACCCAGTTATGGAAAACGACTCCGACAGAATCAAGCGTCCTATGAACGCTTTCATGGTTTGGGCTCAAGTGGAGAGAAGACGACTGGCGGATGCAAACCCAGAGCTGCACAATGCCGAGCTCAGTAAAATTCTAGGACAAGCTTGGAGATCGCTGAACGGATCGCAGAAACGACCTTATGTAGAAGAGGCCGAGCGTTTACGGCAACAGCATATTAAGGATCATCCTGACTACAAATATCGGCCCAGGCGAAGAAAACACCCCAAGAGAGTTTGCAAGAAAATGACATCTTCTACACCCCCGAATTGCGCACTAATACGCAATCCTAAAGAAACGAAAGCCCATGTCTCGCACTCTACTCCAGGTGCGGAGTGCGGACAACTCGCGGTAAACGCTTCAGAAGAAAATTTAATGAACTTTGGGCAGCCGTCTGCACCAATTCCGTTTGCAAATGGAGATTTAAGGCTGACACATCTCGGCGGCCCTTCTACCTTGCCAAATTTGTCCGAGATAAGCCTTCCCACACCAGAGGCGAGTCCCGGATCTAACGACTTTGGTAGTGAGTTTAACTACCCAACTTGCTGGCAAGACCTACAAAGTGCTCTCACCAGTGTGCAGTTGAAATCACAGCCCACCTCTCCACCGCCATATGTCGGTGTCTCTTCTTCAAATTCAGCACCTGTGAGTCCAATTTACCTCACAAACGAAGGTTTACAGGTACCGAGTTCTTTGCCGATAATGCCTGGTAGCGCAAACACTCAACTTCAACCCAATGACACCAGTGCAAATCAGATCTTCTACTTCGCTCAACATATCACGGAGCTGTTACCCGAAGGAGACTTCAACAGGGAGGAATTCGATCAGTACCTAGACGGTACAGAAACAGCAAATATTATGTGTGATATGGCCTGGTGAGGGAACACTATCGACTCAGAAATCTATGCAGACTTTTGAATGTAAAAATTCCATTACGCAAGGACTTGGTGCCGAAATGTTTTTGTAAATATCTTTAGGGTGATAGCTTTTCAGCCGTCACGTTCGATGCCAGTGAACACTTTATTTTATCATTTCGGTATTGTTTTGTCTTACTTTCGAGCGCAATGCGTAGATATGGAATTATTTTTCAATGTACAGTTTACATAAGGGGTCAAATACAAGTGATTTACGCAGTTGAAGACTGAAAAGCCCACAAGGGGCCGATCGAGGTACAAAGTACGTCTCCTAGGTTCTTGAATTTATACGCGATACATGCAATCTACCGTAGTTTATATTTGGATGTACAATTTCGGGTTGCTTTTAAAATAAAGATTTGCTAATGAGCTTTATTAATGTCTTGATTCGTGCGCGCGGTGCCATGTTACCGCCATTAGTGCGGTCGGAGTTATCCTTGTTTAGGCCGGCTCGAAAAAAATTCACCGTCTCAGCCTTTCTAAGTTTTCTTGATTTGACAGCTCATAAAATCAGCTTACACACAGATTGTTATCTCTGGTGAAAACGATTGGCCCACGCCAGTCAAAGTACACATAGAGATGTGTCAACACTTGTCATAATCTTGCAGAAAGATAGACTTTTTCCACTGTAATTTCTGGGTTTTTGTGAATTTGACCTTACCAAATAGCCTTGGACATATGCGTCGCGTCCGCTTCATTTTAATAGCTACGTTTCAACTTTTGATTAGAGCGATCATTTGGCTTGTTTGACTCGATAATAATGGAGCTAAAGTTGCTTCGCGATTACCACGTCCTAACAACAGTTGTTCGAGTTTGTTCTTAAAAAGTCGTATCAGACCTGTCTGACGTCACGATTTCACTATGGTCCATCAAAGGTTCTTTATGCCCAAAGACAGGTCTTTGAGTCCGGAAAAGGTTTTTCATGGCGAAAAGTTGTTTTCAGACATTTTATGGCGCCCTTGACTCCTAGTGCTAATCTCTTTCTACACCGGAAACTAGGCTTGTTCGAACATCACTTGGAACAAAAGAACTGTGATTTGTGCTAATTATTCATTAGCACGCCTTGTGTTACGCATCAAGCTTCCTTTGCTTACTTAAATATTGTACCACATCTGCTCGATCGATTGTTCTGGAATAAAGATGTTTTCTAAATAATTGTCCACGTGCTCATCATTTCGAAAAGGAACTCTCGGTAAGATGCTAGAAACCTTCCACGCGCGTGAAGTTAATTTCAATAATGAAGGCAAAGATTTATCTGCGTAATGTTATCTGTGAAAACTATCTGTTGCTAATTATAGACTTTGAAGACCCTTCTGTTATCTTTTTCGCTTGATGTTTCATAACAATCTCTTCATTAACTTGAAACGATAGATGTGCAGAGCGGTGAAATTGCAGCGCATCGACGTTGATTATTAGATAAATCTTTAGATTGGTTTATGGGCTTAACATGAAGTTTGACATCAGCAATCCCAAGAAAAACGGATAAGCGATTGAATCCTCCAAGAGTGTGCCATGCCTAAACAAAATTCTTTACACAGAAATTTACGACAAAGCAAAAAACTACTAGTAAACGTCTCAATCTGGACGCAAATTGATTTTTTACCAACGTTGCAAGCGTACGTTGGTTACTTCAGTTTGCGCGAGGTTGCTTATCCTTTCAGCATAAACAGAAGTGAATTTTGACAGCTCTTTCGTTGTCTGTCGCTAATTTTAGTACGCACGAGTTCATTCTTGACACGATCGTTACCTTGAACTTTAAAAGATGCAGAAGGGTAAAGGAAGTTTGTCTAGAATCATCCGGAACGCAAGAAAATAAAGAAAACGCGTTTTCTCTTAAGCGCCCGCAGATCGAGATAACATTACCAAGTTTGCCTAACCGGGCATTAATGATTTTAAAAAAAGTACATTAAGCTAGTTAAAATTTAAAAAAAAAAAAAAATTTGTAGAAATAAGGGGGCTGTGATTACATCATTCAAGGATAACTTAGCATCTTAACGTTAATTTGACTCGGGATGGAGAAACAAATTACTTTAGGAAATATGATTTTAATTTAACGTGTTCGGTCGAAGCGCATGGTCCGGCTGGCGAAAGCAACACGCGACTAGCCGCCAAGCTGGTATTTAAAAACGCGAGATGTATACCCGGCTGGTGAAAACCTTGCCTGATTAGCGAGCCCCTGATCATGGTCTCAGGCCAGTCCTTAAGGATCGAGGATCCTTGCTAATAGGAAAAAATTAAGAATCAAGTAACGTCAAAATAAAGTCAAAAAACAGGTGTTAAAAAAATATGTACTGGCGAGCTGAGAGATCAGCCTTATCAAGCCATGATTGAGTAAGTGATCTGATCTGAGAGCGATATGTGTGAACACGCTGCTACTCTTTTTCCCACACGGTAGGGACACTAATCACTGTGCATTTCTTTCAAGTACAACCTTTCCTTGTCGTCTAACGCTTCAGACCCTTTTGGCGCTAAAGAGATTTTCACTGTGGTTGTAACTCGATTAAATTAAAACTAAGAGCACGCTCTAACCGACAGTAATTTAAGACTACTCAACTACCATGCAGCGCATTAATAATAAACGCTGACTTTGAGCTGACTGTTACGCTTAAGTTGTTATTGTGTGTGCTATCATCAGCATTATTTTTTTCGCGTTTTCCCGCCAATATTGTCCTACGAGGAAAGAGAAGCCCATTGCAGTAACCATGATGAGGTGATCAGAACGTTTTTAAGGTAGATTTGGACCAAAGTTATCATAGTCATAGGAATTCGTGTAACATGCTGTATGCGTTCTAATTCTGTGACAAAGTAATACTTTTATATCATGTATATTGTCATAAGCGGATTGCCAAGATTTACTTCATAATTGCTAAAAAATTGTACACAACATATTTTTGAGATGAAATGCAAGTGTCTCGATAAAGGAGTTTCTGTTTTCAATTTTCACCCCTGACAAACACTTAATGTGGTGATTTTAAGGCATAACTTCCTGAAAACAGGTAAAGATACTGAGACATGCCTATTTTGAATTCCGTTCTGTCAAAAACTCAGTGTGCATTGTCAAGGTCGCAGCGAGATCGCATGGCTGGAGCCAGGACGCCTGCCAAACTAAAACATCTACGTGTGCCAACACTGAGAAATTAAGTAGGCTGTAAAGATCGTGTAAAACCCTTACTTTGCAGTACTTAATAAACGGGAAATCTTACCCACTCGTGCAGATTTAAATTTTGACATTGATGACGATTGAATCAAGCTCAGGGTTTTTAAGAAACATTCATGAAATAAGAATGAGGATATTAAGTAACGAATCTTGGCCTTGATGGACTTTTAGTTAATCTTCTTTGGTATGGAAAAACTGACTAACAGTCTTTTAGAATTTTATCTTTTTTAACAAATCATATTCGACTAGGGATGCATTAAAATAGATAAATTGAGAGTAGCTAAGATCTAAATTGACGTTTCAAACAATCTTTAAATTCTTCTGAGCAAAATTCGGTTAACATTCAGAAGGGGGTACAACTACTTTGAGACAGAACTGAAGTAAATTTTCTCTCAGTAAGAATATATTTTCATGTTTATTAATCATCTTTTTCATTCAACAAGTATGGAGTAACTAAAAAAAGCTAAATTATCTTGTTTCTACTTGGCTATGCATTTAAGGACACGTGGGTAACTTATTCCTTTTTGATCCCTTTTGGTAAAAGGTTCGGAGCTTCATTGATCATGAAACAAACTGAATAAAAAATAAAAATGACAAGAGACACGTGTATTGCATTGGAAATGGGAGGAATTTCCCCAACTTAAGACCCAGCGAACTGTTCGGGACAAAATGTAAACCTATAGCTTGACTATTTTGGCGAGGTTTACGTTATCAAGTTTTAGTTTCTCCAAAAAGCTTACTCAGACATCTAGGCGAGAAATTCCGGATATCCTGAAGATTTCTTTGGGTTGGCTGTGTTGACCCTTTTAGCAGCCTTGTGGTTTTGTGGTTTTCCCTCCCAAAGAGCGTAGCTCTTAAGTATTTGTCGTGTATGTGACAAAGAGATAATGCTAAGAGTAAATCCTTGGGCGTGAAATCATATACGTCAGTCCATTTTCCCCTGTTATGCTACAGAGCTATTAACATGTACAAGTTCAGCGATACTTGATGTGAGTTCATATCATACACAAACTAAGCCACAAGAGAAAGTTAATATTCAATACAGTATTTGGTGAAGTTTTCTTTGAAACAACTAAAATTAAAATGTTCCTTGTGATAGCCTGCACTTGAAAAATAGGTTTACAACAATACTCTATATCAAACACGAGTGCAAATAAAACAACCAATCGCAAGATGAATAGTTCATGCATGCATATATCAGACAGAAAAGCACTTTGTACAAATTACCTCTGCAGAAAAGAAATTTTCTCTTGTAAGCAGCTGTGGACGACAACAACTAATCTATAATAGAAACACACTCTAAATCAAATGGTAAATTCCTTAGAATTAATTAAGAACATTCTCCTACAGGGTAGCGTGTTTTTCTCAATCGTTACATTGATGAAATCTGCGTGTAGCGTTCCTCTCTCTCTTTCAATAACAATATCAGTGGTTCAGGACGATTGCTTTTGCTTTTTGAATTGGAGATTGTTGGTCTCGCCTTCTAGTTCTCGATAAAAATATGAGGAAATTGTCTTCAGCTGTTTTCCATCATTCGTGAGATATCCGATCATTGCATCATAGCTCGTCAATGCAGTAATTACTTGCGGTTTTTTATTCGCTGCCTTCTTTGAAATTCTTTCTCAAATATTTGCCCTTTCATGTCGATCATACTCTTATTAAGTAAGCTATTTGAAGGACAAATAATTGCAACCACAAAATATTGATAAAGAAAAACTATCATGATCACACACATTATGATGAACCTGCCTGCATATAAGGAATGGGCAGGTATGCTTGCCTATACGTGCTATATTTATAAATGACGCTAGGTTTTTATTTTCGATCTTTCTAAACTGATAATTGAAGTAATAGAGTACACTATCAAAACAACATGCATCAAATTCCTGAGCTGCTCCTACGAAAAGTTGTTGTTCCCAACTTCATGCCATGTCTAAATCTTGAGAACAAAAAAGGCGCATGTGTTCCCAAATAATAAACTGCTACTTTGACGTTGTTATCGTTAAATCTACTCCATTCGATGCGAAGAAAATCTAAATCAAACTCCTCACAAAGGACATACAAACGCATATGACTTCATTCTTACATAGGGACTTGGAGACCATTGCAAATGTATTTATATTCTAACACCAAAGATCGATGAGGCCCTGAAAGCAATACACATCATTGAAAAGTAATCCTTGCTCGAGGCGAGGAAACAGAACTCAAAAACCTTGCT